TTGCATCGTTGGAGCTTCGGATCTGTAGGTCCATTAGGTCCCCTTGCTAGCTCATAACGGGTAAAACGATGATCAAATTTTTGGAAGAATTTGAACTGTTCAAATTTCTTAAGGGATTATATGTATATTGATACATATAGTTAATTCTAAATTAAAACTATATATTATGAGAGAAATTATTTGAATGAGATTCAAATAAAATTAACGTGAATATGATTCATATTAAAAATATAGGTTAAAAATAATATGCATAAGATGTACATTACAACTATAGGTTATGCGAGAGAAATGTTTTAGAATATGATTCTAATTTTATAATAAAAAATTAAGTGTTAATTATTTATTTGATTTATATATATATTTATTAATTAATTATTAATTGGATTAATAATTAATTATATTTATTAATTAATATGATTAATTAATAAATTAATATATATAGTATTAATTATTATATATTAATTAATATATAATTAACTCCGCTGCAAAATTGCAGGGGAGTGGGCATCCCCACGTCACTGCTTCTTCCTTTGCAATTCTGCAAAACAAAAACTAGAATAGAACAGAAAAGAGGATATTGTCAATTTCTCTCTCAAGCACACTCTCTCAAACTCTCCCTCTCATTCCAAACAAGGTGCTCCCACAAGCACGGTTCTCGAAACCCAAGAGGATAGCAAGGAAGATATTTTGGTGGTGTTCGTTGGGAAAAGTTGAAGAAACGTTCTTCAAAGGTAATGGTTTCCCCTGTATTTTTCCCTCTTTCAATTTCGATTTTGTGTCCCGAAAATCAGCAACGAAAATCCGCTTCCGCTCCGGGATTCACATCCTTTCACCCAGTCGATAGTTATTTCGCCTTGGGATTTATTATGTTGATTGCTTTTCTTTTTGTTGCCTTGCTTGGGTTGTGAATTTGGGTTTTGTGGTTGTTGTTGCTGGTTACTAGTTTGGTTTTGTTGTTTTGTTGGCAGGGCCTATCTTGCTGTCTTGTGTGCCTTGACCTCGGGTTGTGAGGTCTGTCTTTTAATATATCTACCTTTCAAAAAAAAAGACAAAAAGGAATACAGAACAATGAAAATATATTTAAAATAAATAAATAAGATAACAATAAACAATAAAAAAAAGTGTTCAAGCTGTGACTTGACTCACAACGTAGAAGCTAAGATGGAATAAATGAATGAGAAAACCACTCTCAAAAATAACTATATGGATTGGTGAAGTATGATTTATATAAATTAAATTTTGGTCTCATGGAAGTCGCCTACAATATAGTGGAAATATTTGACCAACCCCTATATATATATATATTTGTCAATAATTTGGATGCCTAATTTGTAATTTTTTTTATTTGAATTACAGTTATTTTGTTATCATTTGCAAATCTATATTGCTAAAACGAGCATAGCTCAATGGTAATTATCGTTGATCAAATAAGTATTTGTCAGTTTGATCTCAAATATCGTTACGAAAAAAAATCTATCTTCTAGAAATCATGTGATAAGACATTAATTTTTTCATTCACTATTACTATTGTTGTTATTATTATTTTTTTTAAAGGAAAAATAGATTTTATTAATGGAAATTAACACATTGGGTTACATTGAAAAATCAGCTGCAAATTCCGATTGATGTGGCCCAACCGAATCTTTGTGAAACTACTTTTAGCTGCACAGATGTCTTCTATCCATGCCGCCACCTCATTCCTATTCTATCCCTTCCCCTGGACCAAAGCAATTGCCTCTAAGCAATTAGACAAAATCACAAGCTTCTGAAAACCCTTTTGCTCTGCCATTCTCATCGCCTCTCTAATTGCTCCCACCTCTGCCACCAATGGCTCCAGACCCACCTCTAACCGTTTGGCCATTGCAACTTGAAGTTCGTTATCGCCATTCCACACAGCAACACCCACCCCCAACACCGGCGAAGAAGCTGCACACGCCGCATCCACCAAAACCCGAAGCCAATATCTGGGTAAATTAGTAAGACTAACTTTCGCTGGACCAATTTCCTTTAAGGGTCGAGCATCACTCCGCCTCTTGGTTCTCTGAAACGCCTCAAGGTACGACAAAACCCACTCCCCTTTCACATTCGGCTTGCAAATTTGCGTGTTCTGAATCCGCTTGTTCCTATCATTCCAGATCGCCAAAACATCACCGCCACCACTTCTAACTCACCTGATGTCAAAATGTCGCCCAAACGCTTCCATAAAGAAATCAAGGATTTAGCCAAAACGCCAGCCCATATCACCGTGGGGACACACACTTCCCAGATTTCGCGTGCACGCTTGCATAACAATAAGGTGTGTTCGATCGTCTCTCCACTCTTACCGCACATAGGACAATCATCTGATATAGACAAACCTTTTGAGATAAGGTTGCATCTAATGGGCACAATATTGTTTATTGCTTTCCACATAAAATGCTTAATTTTGGGAGGGAGATTAAGATTCGAGAGTTTTCGCTACAATCTTTTAGTAGAGTCCTGGTTTGAGGTAGAAGAATCTAACTTAAGCTGCAAAAACAACTTATAACCGCTTTCGACATTAAAGGACCGCTTCTTCTCATAGTGCCAAACCCACCCATCCTCCTTCGAAGACAAATCCAACAGTAATCTTCTAATTTTCTCCAAGTCTTCCTGGCAAAACAAATTCTGAAGCAATCTTAGTATCATAATTTTTTATTTTAAATGTTTAACATGCTGAAACAATTGTTATGTCTATTAACCAATATATCAATAATGTATTAAAAAAAACTACTATCTTGAAAAAATATTTTTCAATCATGATGTATTACGTCTTTTAATTGTATCCATTTCTAAATTTACTAACCATGTCCTTTTTATTTTTAATAACCTAATTAATAATAACATGGAACTTGCGAATATGAACTTGAATATAAAAAAAGTTTTACTTATTTATTTCTAACAATTTATGATTTTATATTTAACTAGAATTACTAATGGAAGGTTGAAACTTCAAAATTTTTCGTTTTATCTATCTCTTATAGATATATATGGAGTTTCATTCTACTTCTTTCTACAATAATTTATTTATCTTCATCTCTTATTCATTTTTCTATATTTAGATTTAGTAGTGTGATATTACCCAATGGTCTAGCATATTGAATATTTCGATTTATAAAGGTGACAAAATAGTGTGTCATAAGACTAGAATCTTACAAAGTAGTTTGATGTTAAATTTCAATTAAAGGTAAAAAAAACCTGCTTTGTGATGGACGAGGAATCTCTCTCAGCGGAGGAAAAATATCAACTCAATAGAAGCATCAAGAAGGCTAGGAAGGTGAAAAGAGACCTCGTGTAAGGAGAAGATTGTCAAGGAGATTCATCAAGAGAGACTCTTAGCGGCGGCCATGAAGGTGGGAAAAGGAAATTTTCTTTATCGTGAGATGGTTATTGGGGGTTCGAGTGTGAGACAGGAGAAAGTTGACGAAATCATGGTAGAGGAATAGATTAGTCATGACGAAGAGGGTTCGAACAGTTCAGATGATGTTCAATTTTCGAAAGAGCAGTGGAGGAAATTTAAAGCTCCTTGGAGATCGGACACGACCCATTCTAGAACACCCACTAGTCTTAGAACGAGTCGCGTTGACCACAGATCCCGACTAACTACGAAGTCTATGGTCAACTTCTTCTTATCCTTGACCTAAACTTTTTCTGAATAGCTACATACTAGAATAATAATCTTTACAAAACAGTCATTCATACATTCATTCTATACATTCTTTTCTAACAAATGGTTCAAATAAAAACTTTATACAAACAATCACATGCATACAAAATATCATGCAACTCTTGAACTACTATCCCTTGAAACATAAAAGGTCATATACTCAGATATAGCCTGGGGAAAAACAAAACATAAACAGTGAGATGGGAAGCTCAGTGAGTGGTAGGTTTAATAGGAAAATATTCTCGTAAAACTTCTTTCATAAACAACTGAAATTCAACTCTTAAAACAAACTTCATAAACTGAAGTAACAACATTCTCATTTAGATTTCATAAAACATGAGCAACTAAAAACTCAATAAACTTTCTCAAGATCAAACTTGTAACAACAATTTTCTTTATAGGCAAACTGAAAAGACAACGCTCCCAAGTTCAGGATTCGGACCAGGATTTGGAATCTATATTTGGCCCTAATCGCCCCGGCATTCCCCTGCGTCCCCTGTAACCTAGTTACACCAACTTCTCAACCTGCTATAAAATACATTCTAAAACATATAAAACATTCTTCTTTCAAACATATAAAACATTTTTCTTTCAAACATAAAACAGATAGATAAAACTGAACACCACACATGTATCCATATTCTATTCTGGTCTACTGGGGTAGAGTAATCTCGATATACACAGCAGAATAATTCTGGACTACTAGCATAGAGTAATCTTAATACGCAAGTAGAATAATTCTCTCAACGCGCAGAGTCAAATGATCCCAAAGACCTTCTATTTCTGGGTACACTATAGAAACACATTCATATAGCATACGGGTAATCACTTGGATACTATACATGGTGGTTTGAAAACTATTCTCATAAACTGTTCTAAAATTCTTTCTTCTTCTTTCCAAGAACTTTTCTAACTTTCTCAAATCATTTCTAAAATCTTTCTTGCTAAAGACATTTCATGAAATTCTATAATCATTTTCTAAATCTCTTTCTAAATACCTTTCATAAGCTTAAAACATTTCTTCGAAATTATAAAGCATTTTTAAATCCTCATCAACATTTCTAAATTCTCGAACAAACACATTTTCTTTCATCCTTAGCAGAAATGTTAAATCATACATAATATATACTTTCTTGAAATTCTATCATAATATATTTCTAAAAACATTTCTGAAATAAACCATTCACAAATTCCAATAATAATATCTAAAACATTTAGTAAATTAATCGCTCACAAATCCTTTAAATTCGGTCATACTTTGCTCCAATTTTTGCTCAACCTAAAATATCGATTTAATACCAAATTAATACATGCTTTAATCCAATACAACTCAACCTATCCTTACTTTCAACATAAATCACACTATATCCAAATTACCCATATATCCAATTTTATAACTTATTCTCTCTTTTCATTGAAAACTGACATTTTTCTCTCTCATATTATCTTACAAGTGGGTCCCACCATTACCCTACTCAATTTCTCATCCTTCCCAACAGGCAACACCACGTGATTATCCATTTTTTTTGTTATCCAATTTCTTTTCTTTTCCTTATTTAATTTTAAACCTATAGTTTCTTTCTCTCTCTTCCTTTCAACAACTATTAATCTTCTTCTTTCTCAAGACTTCAAAACCACGATTTTCTCCGTTTCTCTACCCTTCCCTCTTCCTTCCTCCTCTCTGTTTTCTTTCTTTTTCTAAACCAATGAACCCCTTTCCACTTGATTTCTAATACATCTTCAATTCCTTTTGAAAACTGATAGGCTTAAACGTCATTTTTCATCTTTCATTATCCATGACTCCAACAAGTTCTTCTTCAGAATTCTACCAAAGAACTTATAAATAAAACTTAACTTCCTGAAAACTTGATTATTTAAGCCACAAATCTGCTATCAACAACTCTTCTAACAAGATTCTTGAACATATAAGATATTTAAGAAAAACTCAGCTAAATTTCAATTTCCATTCTTTCTAGGTTTCTTCTCACAACTTCCATAATTTCAAAACATAATTACTTACCAAGTTTAAACCAAAATCTCAGAATCAAGCTAAATCTTCTTCACCCTGTTGATTTCCTTTCAATCTTTCCTTCTGCTCCAAATCCTCTCCCTGTTCTCTCTCCCCTTCTCCTTTGTTTTCTCTCCCTGTGTTATTTTCCTTTCTCTTTTCTTTCTTTCTTCTTTTCTTTTCTTTCCTTTTCTGTTCTTTTCTTTTTCAAAAAAAAAAAAAAACACGTCACACACACACACCAATGTGCAATGTGTCCTTACAAGATCGGCCCTGATTATCAAGGAATTAGGGCGACCATTTGGGTATCAATTCTGCTTCGAAGATTGATCTCCATTTGGAAGCGAAAAGGGGGAATCAAATTGATTAGTCTGAGCAATGATTTTTTCATTGTCAAACTGGAATTGATGGAGGACCGTGAAAGAATCTGTTTATGCAAAGATCTGCACAACGATATTTCTCGAACCAAGTTCGAACCCGGTCTCCGATCTCGACCTGAACACTAGAGTGGACCTGCACAAGAGGGTAAAACACTCCGACGCTCAAGTCAGAATAGGTCAGACTCCGTATTTAGTTCGAGGTGAGATTCCATACCTGAGCGTGAAATGAGGCCCTCTATTTATAGATGGTGGATCCGACAGTACTTGTGACCAGCGGTTATATGTTTTTTGCATGTCGAACCTGTCGGGTTCCGAGCAGATCGAGCCCCAGCTAGGTCGAACCTTGGCATCTATACTTAGCCTTTTTTCAATGGGCGAACCCGGTCTCCTCGGCAGGGCCGAGGTGGACCTGGGTAATTCCTTTTATTTAATTCTTCAAACACCAATAAGTGTCATCCACGTGTCCTAGGTATTTTTACCCCCAAACATTGGCCCCCTCTCTGTCAGGTTCGATCTCGACCTGGCAGAGAAGTTTATCCGATTCCATTTTGGACACGTGGCGACTTTTAATTCGTAGAGAGAATATGACCTTGCGGAAGATGTTTCGATCTGCCAGGTTATCGGAACACTTCAAGTATTCCGTCGTTACGGATCTCGAGATGATCCTAGCCGCTCGTTGATTACACGTGTACGGTGCAGAGGTTTTTCCGATTAGCTATAAAGAGTTCTGAGTCTTCAGGTCAAACCTTACGTTCCCTGAATTCTTGGAGTTCGATCTGAAACCGGCTCGAACCTTCTGTAGGTCAGTCATTCTCGTTTTACTCTTCTTTTTCAAATATGGTAGTTTTCTTGTCTTCCCCTTCCAGCAGTGATAGGCTAGGTAGCGCAGGTCGGACTGTAAGTAGTTCGTCCCCCAAACCAAGTGATTCTGGGGAGGACTTAGCCCTTAGGTTAGAGTCCGAGCTGGAAGAGATAGAGAACTTTAGGTTTTCGGATGATGGTGAGGATAACGACATTTCCACCTCGGGCCAAGGTTTGGAATACCCTTCGAAAATGCCCGAGCACTATCTCGGACCCCTCCGTAGGGGGTTTAAAACTCCAAACGACATCCTCCTTAGGATTCCGGAGGAAGGGGTGGGTCACTCTTTACTTGAAAATGTTTGAGTACGGCCTGAGACTTCCCCTTCACCCTTTTGCCTAGGAGTTTCTCAATCGAACTGGATTGGCTCCTGCTCAAGTGGCCCCCAATGGGTGGGGTGTCATTTTTGCCTTGGCCATTCTTTTTTGGTTGTGAGCTCGGGACAAGGACGAAGCCGAGCTACTAAGTGTTGACCAACTTCTTGGGTGCTTTGAGGCCAAGAGGATAGCTAAAAAACCAGGTCGGTATTATATGTGCACGAGGAAGGGCGCGGGTGGTATAGTCAAGGGGCCGACCTCCATCAAAGGATGGGTAGGTAAGTGGTTCTTTGCTTCAGGTGAATGGCTGGCAAAGGACGAATCAGGTCGTCCCTTCTATGACGTGCCTGTTAGGTTTGGGAACCTAGGTATGAGGCCCTTATGTTCACATCCTTAAATTTGTCTTGTCTAGTGTTGATCAAACCGATTCCCGAGCTCACACAAGCTTCTTTCGACACCCTCAAGTATTACAAGGATCACTTTCCAAGCGGCAGGAAGATCGGAACCTTGGTGACCGACAAGCTGCTCCTTGAGTCTGGGTTGTTAGATTACAACCCCTTGGTACGTCCGATTGAAGCTTCGAGACCAAACTCCGAGCTTGGTAAGTCTAGCTCGGCCTCACTTCAATTTTGTATTTCAATTTCTATTTCTGACATTTTGCTTTGTCTGCCTTCCAGCAATGGTGTGCGGATTCTCCGGCAGTGTGAAGCGCAAGTCTAAGGTCCGTGCTCACGCCCTTAAGGTTGTTCAAAGCTCGGAGCCAATAACTCCTGCTGTGGTCGACCTGCGGTTCAAGACAAGGCTGGACCATCTTCTGAAGCTCCAACTCCAGT